CATATTAATTATTCTTTTGGTCAGTTTTTCCTCTTTTTGTATGTATTTTTTGCACATAAAAGCATCTGCCAGACTGAGTTTCCTATCTGTTTTATCTGATTATCTGATGTATCTGATATACATTAACACCTTATATGTTTCCTTCTTAGCTCCTATCATTTTCATCTAGAAATGCAGATATTTAAACTGTAGTAATCAAAAGATATTTTGATGAGTATTTGCTCATTTTTTCATCTGTCAGAAATGACAACTTTCGAGATCATTCCTTGTGTCACAGCTAGTTGTGGGGTTTTTTTTTTGTTTTTTGTTTTTTGTTTTTTTAAGTGAAATGCTATTTGAAATTCACTGATTGTGTTAAGAGAATTGTTACAAATTTGAAATGAAGCATCATTCTTATGACTGCCTGGGAAATGTGACTCACAGGGAGAGGAACCCCTGTTCTGGTTGAAGAACAAAACACTAAGCAAGGAAGCACCATACAGCAGAGCTATCTGAAGCAATGATGCTTTTAGGTACCGATTCACCTGCCTTTAAAGAAGACACCTAAAATAAGTAAAATGGCATGTCTACCTATTCACAGTGACTATAAATTGACTCTAAAGAGACTCACCAAATGCACATCTATCACCTGGATGTCTAAAATAGGATAGGAAAAGTGCCACCTGGGAAGCCTATTGGTACATGAAAGCTCCCACCTCTCACCTCCAAATTTATTTAAAAAAGCAACAGTCAATGTGCCATAGCATATTTGGCTTGTACAGAATAACAAGTATGCTTTTGCTGCTGTTTCCAAAACAACTGCATATGGATACATTGAATAGAACAAGTCATATTTGGATCATTAACTTCTACATACTTGCACTGAAATATCTCTGCAGATTTTAAGGCCACCCTGGTTGCTACTGCTTCAAAAGTTTGGAGATACCTTTGGTGCTGCAATTAACTCCAGTTTCCTACTTTTTACTAATGCATTTTCTCCCGTGTTTCTACTTGGGGACGAATTCTTAAAATAGCAGAGAATACTTTCTGAAGTAGCGGGAGAACTAACTTTTCTCTTGCTACTTCAGTTACTTTGCTTTACTTAATCCATTTTTATCTTTCCCTTCTTATTTTCACAGAATCACAGAATCACAGAATCACAGAATGGCCAAGGTTGGAAGGGACCTCAAGGATCATGAATCTCCAACTCCCCTGCCACATGCAGGGCCACCAACCTACTCATTTAATGCTAGACCAGGTTTCCCAGGGCCCCATCCAATCTGGCCTTGAACACCTCCAGGGACGGAGCATCCACAACCTCTCTGGGCAGCCTGTTCCAGCACCTCACCACTCTCTCTGTAAAGAATTTCCCCCTGACATCCAACCTAAATCTCCCCTCCCTCAACTTCAAACCATTTCCCCTTGTCCTGCTGTTATCTACCCTTTCAAGAGTTGATTCCCCTCCTGTTATCAGGCTCCTTTTAGGTATTTGAAATGCTGCAATGAGGTCACCCCGCAGCCTTCTTTTCTACAGGCTGAACAAGCCCAGCTCCCTCAGCCTGTCCTCATAGGGGAGGTGCTCCAGTCCCCTGATCATCTTCGTGGCCCTCCTTTGGACCCTCTCCAACAGTTCCCTGTCTTTTTGTACTGGGGGCTCCAGACCTGGACGCAGTACTCCAGATGGGGCCTCACAAGAGCAGAGTAGAGGGGGACAGTCACCTCCCTGTCCCTGATGGCCACCCCTCTTTTGATGGAGCCCAGGATACCTTTTGCCTTCCGAGCCACAAGGGCACACTGCTGGCTCATGTTAAGTTTTTCATCTATCAAGACCCCCAGGTCCTTCTCCACAGGGCTGCTCTCAAGGACCGCTCCTTCCAGTCTGTATGGATGCCTGGGATTCCTCCGGCCCAAGTGCAAAACTCTGCACTTTGCCGTGTTGAACCTCATCAGGTTCACCCGGGCCCACCTTTCTAGCCTCTCGAGGTCCCTCTGAATGGCATCCCTTCCTTCAATCGTGTCAACTGCACCGCTCAGGTGTCTTTAGCAAACTTGCTGAAGGTGCACTCAATTCTCTCATCAGTGTCATTGATAAAGATGTTAAAGAGCACCGGTCCCAAGGCAGACCCCTGGGGGACCGCTCGTTACCGGCCTCCACCTGGACATAGAAGCATTAATCACTATCCTCTGTCTGTGGCTTTTCTACCAGTTTCTTATCCATTGAGTGGTCCACCCATCAAATCCACATTCCTCCAATTTGGAGATAAGGATGTGGTGAGGGACATTTTCCCCATATCATCTGCAGTGTTCCCCCTTACTACACTTCTGCTTTTCCTGGAAGATAACTCTTACTTAGCAAGTTAAACCTTCCACCTTACGTGTATAATTCTATTTCAGCATTGACGTTGTTTAGTAAAACTGCGTCTTCCAGTCACCCAGATTGTAACACTCATGGTTGTTTCTCACTGAGATTGTGAGCTGTGCCATCTGGGTGACGTGATGGATTTCTGTCTGGTGCATTACTCTGGATACTCATTGACATGAACTCTGAGAACAGTATGACCAGGAGAATATTTTCAGCAGAAAAGACTCTGCACAATCTGCATTACAAATATTCTTGAGAAAACAATTTAAAAAGCATTAACAGCATCCAAAAGCATTTTTAATTGTTCTAAGAATTGTTTGTAATAGATTTTTCTCCCTGGCATAATGCCAGCGTGCAATGTGCTTTTCTAGGATTTTATATGCTTCAGGAAAGTATCTATGCATACTTCTTTGCTTAGGCCATGAAATTTGTTGCTATGGAAATATCTAAAATGGTCTATGACAAAGAATGGGAAAACTCATTCAGGCAAAAAAGGATCCAGCATGAATCTCCATTCAACAGTCAAAGTGAATGGTAGCTGTTTCTCAGCTTTATAGCAGCTTAATATACTTTCTGTATCATTGATATCTTTCAGCGACTTGCATGCAGTTCACATAGGTCCCAGTTCAGTGCATAATCTGGGCACAGCAGTTCAAGCAGCATCTCTGATAATTCAGATTAAACTCAATTAGATTAATTTATCCTTGCTATTCTTTGCCTTCTACTTGCTTCCATAAAATTTCTTGGCACAGAATCACTTTCTAGATTAGCTGCACCACTGACTGCACTACCTTCCTTCCAAACATTAAAACCTCAGATGATTTATTGCTTCTGACAAGTACAGTGCACTGTGGGGACTAACTGAATAGAAACCTTCAGATCGGGGGGGAATTTAAAAAGAGCAACAGTAACTTCCAGCAAAGTGTGTCTTGGGTCCTGCTGTCTGAGCAGCTTCTCTTGCTGGAGAAGAGAAGCTGGCCTTAGGCAAAAAACTGTGAGAGAGCATGTAAGGTAGGCTCACAGGATGTTCACATGCATGCATATATTCTGCTTTGGATATATGTTTTTCTTTTGGTAGAAGGGACTTTACTGTGTTGTAGGCTTTCTGATGTTAGTGTCTTGGAACCAAAGAGAGAACCTTACTTTTCAAAATCTCTGTCTCCAATTACGATAACAGGCTTCCAGATGACTGTGCTGACTGGTGAGACAAATTCTGCAATTAAAAATTGGAGCAGCACCTATCAGTAACTGAGATGTCTCCTTGCTGTTAATTTGAAACCAATACCAAATATGATCTCTTAAGTAATACATTAACAAAGGACTAAGATTACAGTTGTTACAGGCAAGAAAAGCAGTTCATGGCTTCATGATTTATTATTTATCTGTCTCCCATCTCTATTTATTTAATTACTATGAATTTAAGTATGATTGCAGAATGCTATTAACCAGGGATGATTTTCTGTGTATAGAGCGTTTTTGTTCCCTGGTAAGCCCTCTGCACAAATCCTCAGATTACATGTTGATTGGAGAAAAGAGTAATACAGAACTACCAAGACTGCAGATTTTCGAAGAATATGTGGATATTGTGTAAGGATAGGTGAAAAACCTAATGATGTTACCACATTCCAGAGGCTACGGAAACAGATTATTGAACATGACAAAGCCAGTTCTCCTGAAGAAAGCTGAAGTCTTGGTTCTTCCTTATCTAAAACCCTATTATCATACAATTAAAAAGGCAAGCAGAGGATCAGCAAAAATCAAGCCAAGTTCTGTGTGCAAACAAACAAAAAATGCACTAAAAATTCTATAAAGAATAAGTTTTTGGTTTACATGATAAATTGCTTGTGTATTTACTGCCTGTTTTCTTTCACTAAGAGGCAAAGCAAATCCTTTCACTCTGCCATCAAGCCATAGATATATAATTACCTGGAAAACAGCATGAGTAAGAACACATGTATTGACAAAATATAAAAAATATGAGGTCAAAAAATGCGTTCTCATAAAAATAACCGAGAACAAGTTGCTATAATTGTAACAAAGTGCTACAGGGTAAAATTTTCAAAAGTATTCACATAACTTACAATGCTAGTCCTCTTTTCAAGTTTGTACTTTTCTAGAAACTGTGTCTGTTTTATAAAGAATTTTTATTTCATGTACCTATAAATATTAAATATCTACCATTTTAAATCAGAAAAGCCAGGCTTCAAAATTTCTTCTCAATGCCTAGGAGTATATAACATCAAGACTGTGTCAGAATAGCTACAGAACTCTGGTTCTCAGATGGAAGACAAATGTATTCCTTATACCAATTCATTCTACTACAAAAAGTTATTAGTAAAGGTAATGACACAGTCACACACTAGTATATAAGAGAAAATGGAGGGCAAGGACCATCATGTTAAAAAATTATGATTTGGGAAATAAATTGAAAACAGAATAGTAAAGACAGAAATCAGAAAACCAACATTATATAAGATCAAGAGCCAGCAAATTGAGTCACCACATGACTCAAGTTTTCCATAATAAATCAGGATATGAAATAATATAAGGTTATTATTATAAAATTCAGTTTTCAGTGAGACTTACATTTTTTAAAATAAATTCTAAATTTAGAAACCTGTGCTGGTTTCACAGAGGCATTTAAGCTAATTCCTTTTACCTGTTATAGTTGCTTTGTTAATAGATGGTTGGTTACACATTGGTGACCGTCTGTTTGAAAAAAAAAAAGAACAAAAAAAAAGAGTTATCAAGCTGTTAAACTCATAAATGGTTGAATACTTGAAGAATACAAGAAAGCACGTTTCTCACATTTCTTTGGGAAGTTATTTGTGACTGAAGCACAATGGCATGAAAGTTCATTTAGCTATTTCCTTCTAAGACAGAAAGGAATTCACAATGGTTGCTCAAATCTTTCTGCAGATTGGGATCTTCAGCAGGGAAATTTAGAAGTTAATTTATAAGTCTGCTTAATCCTTGGTTGAACATGTACCTAGCTTAAAGTTTGGTCTATATCTATAGTCATTAACTCTTATATGGCTTGCACTACCCATGTTCTCTCACTTGAAACAAATTCTTATAGCAACAATTAATTTTAATTATTTTTTTTTTTTTTTTCATGCACTTCACAGTAATTTTTAGGGCAAACAGCTCAGTGGAATCCTTTGTTCATTGATGAAAGTTAAAATTTGCTGGATTAACATGGCTGTTTAGTGATGACTGCAGGCAGGGTCTGAATAGGGCATATTCCAAATGAAGGGGCAGGAAATATCTGCAGGAAATATCTTTCTATGGAACTGCATATGCAATGGTGGGCATTTGTTGTTATGAGCTTAAGTCTTCGGTGAGAAACTGCTATGGTTCCATGAATGCTACCTGATTCTAATTTAGAATGATAAAAATTGATTCACTACAAAATTTTCTAGTTTAATGTTAATGTTAACTGTGACATTGTACCAGAATTGAAGACCATATTTATAATATGTCATTTATAATCATGAACTATTGTGGATATGTAAGATGTCTTTATCTCGGATGACTTCTAGATCCAGATCATGCAATCAGTGTAACTATCTGCTCACTTTGGTTCATTTGCACAACTCAGACTCATTGCCTGAATTATCATCTCTGAATTATCCTTGACATATGACTTACTGAAAATTGTAGAAATTGCATAAATAAAAATTACTGCATGTTTATGCAAGGACACCAGTGCAAGAACAGATAGCAAGCAAGAGGGCTTCTGTCTCAGCTATCAAGTATAAGCAGTTTCAAAAGATAATAAAATGATAAGAAGTTTTACACAAGCCATAAAAAATCTGTAACATCTAATTGTTATTCTTAGCTCATATTTTAAAAATGCCACTACTAAAAGTTCAGTGGCCAAAACTTGATACTTACTTGCTGGGTGCCCTATCTTGTAAATTGGTTAATGCAGCAAAGTTATTCCGTACAGTACGCAGGCTGGCCAGCACCTGGAACAGACAAAATGGCTTCAGTCTAAATTTCTGCACAGGCGAGCCTGAATTAGCTCCACTCCACTATGCTGAAAGGAAAAGAAAGGACAATGCAAAATACCTGTGAAAGATTTCCAGGGTTGGTTTGACCAAAGTCTTTGACTATTATCTAACAATAACATGTCTGTAATAAAAGGCCAATAGTTTTGTGTTTTTTTTCTCTAATAAGCAATTCGTTATTTGTTTAAAGACAGACTTAGTTGAAGAGAAGGAAAGTTTTTCACAGAACGCTACTTAGTTCTCTAAAATGACCATAAAAGCATTTGTGTTTGGATGATAATAGTCCATTCAAGCCTAATACTTCATACATAAGAAATGATTACAGATTTTTCCATTTGCAGTTCAGCCCCCACAAACCTCAAATGACAAAGAGAATGAAATTGTTTAGACAGGCAAAGAAAATAAAAGTGGCTCCCTTAAGGAGCCTGATTCATTTGGGTACTTAGTATAGAAGGCACATTAGGAGGAAGGTATTATTAGAGCAGGGGAAAAATGTGTGCAGGCCCAAAACTACAGGATTTGCACACTGTGAAAGACAATATAAATGGAGTACTTGCTTTCTGGACTTCTTTTAATGAAAGACAGCAGCTAGAGGAGGTAGCAGAGAAATGTCTTAATATAAATGGTATAGACATTCTCTGCTAAAGGAGGTTGAATAAATGTAACAAATTTTGCTGTGTTAACAACAGGACATGAGCGTGTAAGTATAGATAATGTAGTGAAATCTTTATAGGTTTTTGTTCAGAGAGCTGGGTTTTTTCTTTTTTTAAGCAAACAAATCTTATATAATATTAACAGTGGAGAAGAACTGGTTTGGCCTTCTTGGGTTGCACGATCATATGAGGAATAAGGCAAAATTGTGCCTACCTGAGCAAATGGTGTCACAATCAAGTCATCTCCATGTCTGAAAAAATAAGCAGAGTTCTAAGTTAGATATTAGTGAAAACTATCTCCCTGCTACTGCTTTAATAGAAAGAAAATTAAGTTTTACAGTGCATTGTGGGTATTTCCAGGTTTACTGTTCAACAGTTACTCACTGATGCTGCTTCACAGATTGTTTTGAAAAGCGAATACCAAATCAGTCATTGTCCAGTCATTCAATATATATGGGATGGCTGAAGAACCAGCCAATTTCTACACAGGACTGCATGGAACAGACCTGAAGAGGTTTTATCACAAAGGACAAACCTGAAAATACTGAAAGAGATTACATTAAAGCTTACTAGCACGTTTGTGAGCACTGGCCAGGCAAGTAACTGCAGATGACTGGGCAGTGCATCACAGACTAATAAAAACCTAGTAAAACTTTTGAATTGACTCACACTGGTATAGTTACAGGGGAGTGTAACCAAGAGTGTGCTGTTACTGTGCCAGCCTCACCCACATCACACTGGCTGACGTAGGGCATGGTGTTGGGATGACGCGTGGCCACGGAGAGGCAGGAAAAGAAGGGTTTCCTCGCTTCTTCTTCACTGAAATGCTTGCACTGAGAGTTTGGCTTATGCTGTGAAGTATTTCCCCTCACTTTATGTATAAAATATTAAAGTTACACACAAAGTACCATGTGCTGTCATGTCTTAGTCTAAGGGAACACTGATAAAACCAAAGGAAGAGACTGACTGGAGTCTTAAGCATGCATTAACTGTCCACTTTCATCCAAACTGTGAGGAACAAGGAAAACTTGGTATTTTCAGAATATTGAATTCAATATTCAGATTGATTTTCATTCAATCTACTATATCTATTAGATTTCAGCGATCAAGGTAAAAAAAAAAAATTAAAAAAAAAATCAAAGATAAAATCTAATATAACTTCATATAACTTCATATTTAATTCTTTTGTATTTTCCATACAGTGAATTTATCACAAAACGTTGTAAACTGTATTTGGACCTGAAATCTTTCAACAGAAATTACCATTGTTTTGATACTGTCTTCATGTTATTCACGCATGAAGTATGAGAAACTACTGTCAGATTTTCAAATCAAAGTCTACGGTATTTTGTAGTGTTTTCAATACCCAATCAAAACTGTGAAGGTTTATTAAACCCAGCTAGTCATTAATTCCCTTGTTAAAGTACTGGGCTGATTTATCTTGTTTATAATAACCAGATGAATTTGGTTTCATGAGATAAAGTCTCAGAATTACTTCCATGGTGCCTTGTTTCTTCCTCTTCTACCTGCTTTCCAGTCAAACTAGAACTGTTTTCAGCTTAGCTCAACCATTCCAGCACAGAAAACAATTCAGTGAAGCATCCTCACAGCAATGATTTCCTCAGGCATCCAGGAAGGAAAATACCCTTTCACAATAATCGCATTAGCTGTGGAACATACTTTTTTTCTGCATTCCTGGTAAAGCAGAGAACTAGGGAAATTGATGACTGTGATGTAAAAGTTAAGGTTGGCATCTATGGCATTTAATTCAGCTTTCTAAGGCAATGGGAACACCTTACCTCTTCCTTTTTGATCCTAACTGATCAAATAAAAATGTGTTTTTTCTTACAGTCAGGCTGATGTGGTCTTAGCAGGTACATATCCACAGCAAAAGTGTATGTCACACTCTTTGATAATAATCTATGAAAGAAAACTCGAATTTCTTAACAGTATTGCTCAATGCATTACATAGCTAGACAATGGAAGAGCAAGTCATAGAGAAATCGTACAGCAAAGGCTTTGAGAGAATATAAGCAAAGTGCATATTTTCTTTTTCTCTCATTCTCCACTTAAATAGTCATTAGATGAACATATAAACTATCTCACTCCCATAAAATTTTTGCTCTTTTCTTCAAATTATGTGAAACAGTATTATCTGCTGTTTGAAAGCTGGTTTGGTAAAACTGTAAAAATTGAATGCTCCTTCGTTTCACTATCTCTTGTATGCTGCATTACTGGAAGTAATTTCATTGTTCTTCTTCCCATTCAATGATCCTGTTTGCCACCTCTTGAAAATACTATCACTCCGTTGCTGTAATTTTTGAATTTTAATCTCCTTAAGCTTTTTCTGGACTGCATTTCACTGGAGAATATTCATAAAATAGTGTGACTTGTTATTGTTAAAAGAGATATTATTAAATATTAACTTAATGCACTGAAACCAATCCAGGATTTCATTTTCCTATTTAAAATATCCCTTCTGTCAAGAGTAACAACTACAGAAATTGTCACTACTTGGTAGAATTGTAATATTGGAAGTACATATATGGGTTGTATCAAGAGTAGCATGACCAGCAGGTTGAGGGAGGCAATTCTGCCCTTTTATTCTGCTCTCGTGAGTACTGTGTCTAGGTCTGGAGCCCCCAATACAGGAAGGACATGGGATTGTTGGAGTGGGTACAGAGGAGGGCCATGAAGATGATCAGAAGGCTGGAGCACATCTCTTATGAGCACAGACTGAGAGAGCTGGGGATTTTCAGCCTGGAGAAGAGAAGGCTCTGAGTAAACCTTACAGTGGCCAACCAGTACCCGATGGGGGCCTACAGGAAAGCTGGGAGGGACATCTTATGAGGACGTATAGTGAGAGGATGAGGGGAAATGGCTTTCGACTGGAAGAGGGTAGATTAAACAAGATATTAGGAAGAAACTTGTTACTGTGAGAGTGGTGAGACACGGGGACAGGTTGCCCAGCAAATGTGAATGCTCCCTCCCTGGACTTGTTCAAGGACAGGCTAGATACGGCTTTGACCAATCTGGTCTAGAGGGAGGTGTCCCTACCTATAGCAGGGTGTTGGAACTACATGATCTTAAAGGTCCTTCCAACCCAGACCATTCTGTGATTCTATGATTCTATGATATCCACAGTTTCCATAACTTAGTTTAGCATGTGCCAGATAAATTTGGAAGGAAAAGCAATTTCATAGTGTGTTGAGTAATCTCTAATCCACACTGGGTCAGGAAATCTGGAAAAGGTGAGAGTGATCAAATAGGGAGCAGAATTGTCTAAACTGGCTGTGTTATTTTTTCATATAGAAGAGCAAGAGCATATGATTTAAGAAAGGTGCTATTGATCCACAGTGTACTCCAGTGTAGTAAAACACTGTGATTTATGAGTTTCCTGCCGTTTTCTTTTCTGATGATATGGAAGCTGATTGATGATTCTGTTTGGACTCTGTACAGGATAGTGCCACACATCTTTATACAGAAGCATTAAGAGGAGTATAAAGCCTATGCAATGTATCATAAGCTTCTAAATAAAGACAGAGCTGTTAATCTTTAAGGGTATAAGAAATTATTCACATCTCAGTTAAGTCAGTTAACTAGAATGCCTGGCATACTCATTCATACATTCATTTTTCAAAGGAAAGACAAACTTGAAAATAGATTTTAACACAGATCAAAAATTTTAAGTTATCAAATTTGCTACAATCAACAAAAGCTGTTAAAAAATGTAACAGTCTATATGAGAAGAACAAGTGTTACATACAACACAAGCCAAATTACCAATGGTATACCAAGTATTATAAAAAAGCATTGCAAGCTATTTGCCACCTTAAAGTGATGAAGCTTGACCTTCTGCAGTGTTGTTGGTTTTTCATTCCTAACCTCTCCTATGGTACATACTTGAACTCTCCCCATGTAACTTACAGTGGTCTCTGTTCTGAAGAAGAGATAAAAGTGCCATGCCAAGTCAGACGCGTATATTTAGCTAGCTGTTGACAAATGCAAAGAACACAATTTCTGCCTTCCTCTCCTCAAGACTGGCATTAATTTCTTTCTTCTACTCGAATTACAGGACATTAATTAGCTTTGCCTTTTCTAAAGTGGACCTTCAGAGTTACACGCATGAACGGACAGAGAAACAGGAAGGAAGATGAAATCAGGGACAGGCTGGGTGACTGCAAAACCTTTATTTCTTAATTAAGTTGAGATAATTTAATTTAATCATCTAATAAAAGGAGTTGCTAAAGAGACATTCTGCAGATCTGCTAGGATCCAGTTAAAAAAAAGGGTGTATTTACGTGGTTGGAAAATAGTCAAGATACCCATTAAGGGGATATGTGTCTCAGACCTTAGACACCACTAGAAATGTGGCTTGCACTTGCCAGCGTGGAGCTTGTAGGAAGGGTCCTGAATAAAATTTATCCTTGTAAATGATAATAATAAACTCAAGTTATGACTTTCAGGCAGATGTGAACACCAAGTGAGTCATCTGAAGGCCACAAAAGTAAGACTTAAATAGGGTAAATAAAAGCACAGTCTAAACAAAGAGGGAGAAATGGACAAAATATATTTATACTAGCTTGACACCTTTACACGGACAAGGTACAGTCAAAATGACAGAAGCTCCCAGAAGCAGGCAATAGATGCAGCACTTAACACAGCAGTCTTTGGCACTGCTTTGAACTTCACGACCACCTGGTGACAAGGTTCAAAGCCAGGAGGATGCCTGGCAAACCTTCCAAAGATCTTGTGTGCCTACTGCTTTTAGGCAACGACAAAGAAAGCAGAGACACAGTGGTGTGGGCGAAAGGAAGTTCTGGCAGCTTAAAGTGAGTGTAATTAGCTGCCCTTGATCTAGAGTGCCTGGATCCTTTCCTGTAGCAGCTCCCTGATTAGGAAGGGTCAAGCATCCTTCAGCTGTTGCCTGGGAGAGGTCTGTGTAAGAGCTGATCCCAGAGCTGAGCCCACAGAGCAGCCAACAATGCAGCAATTTGCAGAGAGGACCCATGGTTGAATGTGGACTGTTTTGACAGTCTTGAATATGGTGATGATGCACTACAGACGCATTAGATCAGCAGATGCTGTAAGACATACCTTTACAAAGCTGGAAGGTTTGGTGCAGCAGAACTTCATATGTTAGATGCTACCTCCAGCCTCTGGCTGCTGAGAGTGCTGGGGCCTCTCTGAGGCCAGGAGAGAGAGACTCTATCCTGCAGAAAGTGGTGGCTGTGCTGGCTAGGGGAAGACT